CGGATGACGAGCAATCCGTAATAGGTTTATGGGTTTGGCTTTGACACTCATCAGCATGCACAATGAATTCCATTGGTCATGGTCGTCCGATAAGGCACTGTGACGGCGGTAGACTCGGGGACATTTGAGCACAAAAGTTAGAGCACTATTGTTAGATCACTTTTTTGTTGATCTGCTAGGTAGAGCAATCGTTTGTTCTGACCTGCTGACAAGTGTTGATTGTTTACTGTTTGTCTCTACATTCGCCGTAACGGCGTTTACAACAGAAGAGACCGCAACGGCGGTCTCCCGACACCTTTGCAGCAATCTCTGCATATGTAACTGATGTTCCGATGGGCTTTGTCACAACAAGAGACATTTGAGCTACAGGTACCGAGGGTTGGTGTTCGGCTGCTTCATCCTTGTTAATGATAGGTGTCAGGTCTAATGGAATTCGCTTAGCCGGACGTTTTGGATGGTGCCTGATTTTAGTTGTCATGAATACTGCTACGGTCATTTTTCGCCCGGTGTTCTACCAAAATTAGAGAAGACAACGGAGATGAGGACGTGGCTGATTACGGTTCAGGGGAAGCAAATTGTGCAGCATTCCGTTGCTTAGAGGCAACTACGCTTCCCTGGTGCACACTCGCTTCCATTGAAGTAATCTTCTCGCTCGGCTTTTCAGGTTAACCGGTCGCACTTCTGGACTGGAATAACCATACACATAACAAGTGGGATGGTTAACCACGCAGTACAGAACCAAATGCATCTTTTGAGCTATTTCGCTTTCGTACCTGTTGTTGTGACAAATTTGCACACTTCGGAGGCTACCACACAAATGCCTTCTGCTTGGAGCCCTCTCGGATTTGCATTTCTGCCGTTCAACGCCTTGTCGTTATCTGACCCGGTGGGTTGGTTTATGTTCTGTACTTTTCCACCTTTGATGGTGGGGCACATCGGTCAGACGAGCGTTGTGCTTACAAGGCTGAATCCAAACGCTATCGTTCAAGCTGGTGGTCTGGCTGACACAGGTTAGATTACTGTAGATCAAATCCAGGATGACGGACACAGACGGCAGTTGGGCAAATCTGTGAGATCCCCGAAATTAGTTAGAGAATATCCACTAAACTTGCACAGGATGAAAGTTAACTTTCGAACAAATGACGGACCTCCACCTTTGAAATTGGTCGGATGAAGTTTATCTGGGCTAGGGACTTTGTAACTCTTTAGGGGGCGATGCTCGTAAGTTACCTCAGCCTCAGATGGCGATGAGGCGCATGTACACCATACAGCACTCTGGATTCTTGAGTTAGAACTCCCTGGTGCAGCTGGCCAGTTAAACTGCTGTTCAAAATGCTGGGCGCGACGCACAATTCTGCATTGTTTACTATGTATTGATTCGCCGTCGCTTTGGCACAGATTTTCGCTTTATTCGATGTTTTATTCGATAACTACTATTTCATTTTGTCATTTCATGTGATTGGCTGTTGTTTGACATCCCAGGTGTGGCTGCGCTTGATATGCATGTTGACAAGGTGCCTATCTGTTTATTACCCACCACCTCGTCCATACTGGCTCCAGGAGACAGTTGGTCGTTGCTGGAGGAGATGGGGTGCACGGTCGTTGTGGCCGTGCTAGGCTCGAAGAGTGGTTCCATGCACTCGGTGTGGAGCGGACTACGGTCCAGCCACCGCCACCGCCATATATATATATATATATATATATATATATATATATATATATATATATATAGAGAGAGAGAGAGAGAGAGAGAGAGAGAGAAAGAGAGAGAGAGAGAAATATGAGGAGAAATATTTCTTTGAGGTTTACACTCGCCGTCTTGTGATTTTTTATTTTGGAGTTTTATGCTTGATTTGACCTTAACTAACCGAAAATGCGCCGTCTCCACTGATGCCTATTGCGCGCCGTAACCTCAAGCGTTTCTAACCAGTTGCAGCCTGAGTCGCCTGGTCCCCATCCTGGAAGGTGGACCGATCGGACATAAGCTAAGCTTGAGGTTACCTTCTTCATGCTCTTTTTCCACACTATTGGTTATCTACTGCGGCGCTTTTTCCATTTGCTTCCGGGGAGCGCAAATATTGTTTGACGGGAAGGCGATAGGCTGGCTGGTGTACAGAAACAGGAGAAAAGCTTGCCAAATTCCTTTGCGATCCCTCCGGAGGAACTGTTTGAGTTCGTTGTTGATAGGCTGCACAACGGACGCTACCCAACAGCAGCAGGGATTGATCGACATGCTTTGAGAAGCTTGAGAGATCGTGCATGGATCTAGTGATTGCAAGAACTTTTGGTGAAACCATAGGCCAAGGTCGCGGAGATGTGTAGGTAGTTGCGGATGTTTGTCCGGTGCGTTTCAACGTCTGAGCTCGAAGCGCTTTTGAAACATTAGTCCGCCTCGCCCTGGGCGGAAGCCTGCTTGCTCTCCTTTAAGCCGGAATTCCCGTTATGCAGTGAGGCGTTGAACGAGAATTGAGGTCAGTACTTTTGTCACTACTGGCGTTAGGGTGATGTCCCTGTTGTTCGCACAGTCGGCACGACTGCCCTTGTTGTTTATTGCCACTATAGTCACTACACTCCACTTAGCTAGGATGGTCTCTTCCTTCCAGACCTTTACAACAGAGTTAGTGCTTTGCAGAAGACCTTACCAACATCCTAAACTAGTCCGTGTGCGAAGGAATTCTGGTCAGCAGCACGAAAATGTTTAAGGGCTGTGATCAGCTAGACTGATTTCGTCTAGATCTTCGATTATTTCCGGAGTCCTTACGGCCGTGCAGATTGAAGTGCTTATTCAATGGCAGGAGGACCCGTGCTAACCAGCTAGCTTATTTTTGTTGCGACGGTAATGGCATGCTCTTCAGGTTAACCTGGAAACCCGTCCAGCTGTGATTTTGATGAGCCGCTCGGCTTCAAGTTCTTCTTTATGGTCTCGTCAAATACACGATGTAAGATAGGCATTTCACGATATCCATTAATACGAGCCTGTACGTCAATCGGGCTTGTTATACGGTCGATGCGTTGAAAATTGCTTTCGGCACTTAAAATGCTTAGTATTTTCTGAACATAATCGCTCCTGTTCATAATTACTGTTCCTGCATCTTGATCCGGCTTCAGCACAACCACTCCCTCGTAAAGCTTTTAAATGGCGGCTTCTGAGCCTACCTTTTTCGTTAAACGGCACCATGAGGACTTTACAAACAATATCGGTCAGCTTATTCCTGAACCAGTTGACAGCATCATGACTCGCTACTGAAGTACACCTACTTGCTCGAAAAAAATTCGCAAACGGTGCTTTAACAACGACGACGGATAGACCTCACTAAAGATCAGTCTGCTTGAGTGGATCAGTATCTGCATTTTATGGGATTCTCGGCGATGTCACATCAATCCTGCTTGGTCCGGACTATGCTCTAGGTGCCAGTTGGTTGACACCGCCAAACAATAATGATTGCTGTTTGGAACGCTGAAGTCGCGCAGTTCATCAAGACCTTATGTACTAATGCTCAATCAAATCGAGAAAATAATGATCCAAATAAGCCGCTCTTCGCTGTGAGTATTAAAACGCATGTAAGGCAACTGGAGACCAAAAGAGAAACACACACGCAAGAATCAGATAGAGAAGTGGAGAGAAAATATCGCGTCTTACCCGGACGTAATGATGAAGATTCTAATTGAGGACACATGTGTGGTCAAAACCATTCGGTCACAAACAGCTGACGCTGTGTGGCAATAATGCGACATTAATGAGATAAATCTGAGGATAATTCAATACCCCACAAAAACTTGGCAGAATACGCAGTGAAACATTGACAGGAGAGGATGAAACTGCGGAGATACTACCGATAAGTTTCCAGTCACATTTTTCAGGTCACGTGCCAAGTTCAAACTGGGTTACGCGGACCTCTGGAAAACGAAACGGATCAACAGCACACAGTCCAAAGAACAGCACCTTCCTTTCCCACTACCCAGTCAATAGTCGGCCTTATGTGATAAACAAATCACACCGGAACCGGACCAAATCAGCCCGTCTGTCTTGTTAGTTCGGTGAATCAACCTGATCTTCACGAACCAGCATTCAGTTGCGCATCTCGTCGTTGCGGACGCAATCGTGCCACTCGTGATCAAAGGTCTTCAAACAGAAGGGGCTGAATCCTACGGTTTGATAGGAGAATGGTGCACATCTTCGTCCTGTTCACACGACGCTGAGGGACAGTTGGATGCCAAATATATTGCAGTTCCGTAAAATCAACCCTGACTTTGTAATGCGTGAGCTAAGATTAGCCGTCCATGGCAGGCAATGTAACTTCCAAGACAGACGGACTGGTGAGATGCTTGCAGATCCTCCTTATTAGCAATCAAAGCGTAAACTAATGGCCAGGGGCACTGAAGTGGATGCTAGAAGATGTTACAATACTGTTTGAGTGCGCTGCTTCTCGGAAATCACTTTTGGTTTTCAGAATCAAACAGCTTTTTTCTTCTTGCGCATCGTTGCATAACACTTGACGCGATACACTACAAAGTTGAGTGAAAAACAGAAGTAGGTTGACCCTAGTGTATATGAGCCGTTTGTCAGTTCCCAACTTATTTCTTCATAACCAGCGTCCGAAACGTCATCTTCTATCGTAGCTTTTATCAGAGCTGTAACATATGTTGCATTGTGTTGCACCAAGAGTAGTTAATTAATTGAACCTGACTCTCGGATCTCAGTATTCTTCTTCTGCTGAAGAATTCTCATTATGACAATGTAAACGTCAATTCAACACAGACTGCTCGATGTTTCGTTTCTGATGACCAGTGGATAGATGTGTGGGAGCATCACCTTCGGTCTGCGAACAACCGGTTTTTCGATCGTTAACTTACTTTTTTCGTATACTGCTAATGCATTCTGCGTCTCGTTTGCTTCGTCACCATTGCTTATACGTCTTTTCTTTCTCTTGGCATAGCGTCAGCAGCGTCGCTTGGCGAGGATCCGACCATCGGAGCGTCTGTCGACATTTCGCATTGCCATGGTATATCGCCTCGCCGCCGCCCTTCTAATCCCGTACCCCTCACACAGACGCTCATTGAAAGCGCCCCGGTTCATCGACTTCCCACAGGATCATACGTTTGTTCTAGCCCACCGGTCACTTCCGCCAGTCATTCCCGTGTTAGTTTGTCCGCATTCCATGCGGAGGACGTGCAACGTAGCTCGCGCATTTCAACTGCCGCTACCCTCCCCGCTGCTTCGATGTGCAATTCAGGTAACTGCTCGACGTATGGTGTATTCGGGTGCCTTACTTCTGGTTCGAATTTTTACTTTGTAGAACGTAGGATCAGGCACATTTGCCTGAACTACTCTAATAGTTTAGTTTTGGTTCCTTCTGGTCTCCCAGCTGATTTCAATTTACACTCATTGCGTGACATGCTTTCGCACCATCTTTTTGACTTGCGGGTTTGAACTGCTCTCCATTGTCGCTGACCTAGCTATTGTGAGTCATTCATTCATTGTTCATGCTGTGCATCGGTTTTCAGACTGCTTTTATCTGTTTTCGGTTGTGGCTATTCTAGCACGTTTTTTGCTTTGACGCGTTGACCACTGATCTGTTCAGCCGTAATCGAAGACGATAAGGATCTAGCAAATGGCGACGTCGAAGAGTGGCAATGCAACAAACGATTTTGTGGCACAATTGGTTTCGCTGTTGTGGCAACAGCGAACACAAATAGAGGCGCAAATGAAGTTGTTCAGCACTTGAAAGAGCGGCTCATTCTTCAGCAACAGCTACACCGGACTTGGATGCAAATTCTTTTGATCTCCCCTCCAATTGCACCAGAGAATTTAGTTGTGCTGCTGATTCCGGAAGCACTCCCAATGCATTGTTCGGCTGCTTGGATAATGTGCTCAGGACCTATTTCAATCATTTGGAAGATTCCTGGAATATTCTTCGGTTGCTCCATAACTTTTTTTGATATCTCCTGTAGAATGATTGTGTTGAAAACTAGAGCCTTAAAGTATATATGACTCATCAGTTTAGGCATCTACTTATGTAAATGCAATGATTTACGATAATAACGTGAAATGAGAATGGGATGTAAGCACACAAATCTATTTGGAAAGAAATCATAGTTTTCCAACTTTCCAGGTTGGTGGAGGAGAGAGTTCCTATGTTGAAAAACCCGAGAAGTATTCCCATCACTATTCTACACGGCTGTATTGTTCGCTCAGTTTCAGGCGAATGCCTCAATGGTTGGTGTTATAGCTGAGTTTCAGCAAACGACCAGCATACTTGATGGGGTCACTCAATATTTGGCACACAAATATGAAATTGCGTGAGATGAAAACCCCCATCGACTTCAGTCTTTCCTGGTAACATAAGCTGCGTAGGTGACGTCCTTTGTTATCTCGCGTTGGGGGGGGGTCTCTAACACCTTTAGGTTGCGCTTTAACTAAAGCCGACTAGCTTTTTATGGTATTCATAGTGAGGGAGCACACAGAAGTTGTGCTTCATCGGGAATATTAATAGGTCAAAATTCCCTAATGCTCTTCGCAGTAGCCCGACATGCTCATTGCCTCTTCCTGCGGCTCTCTCCGACTGTTCTGTACAGCCCATATCACCCGGTGTGTGCGCAACAAGATTGCTTTTCTTGGAACTGGCCTGCAATCTGTGTGCCCCAGGCCCATAAATGTAAACATGCCTAAGGCGTTGTTGAACAACCCGACATTTTACCACGTAAATGACAAGACATCAGAACGGACCAGTTCGAAATCGCATCACGATCGCGCTGGTATCCTTCGTCGTTATCCGATCCCTTGATCGCTTGACCTATCTCGATAACATCTGCGAAGAATGAGAAATCGGAAGCAAGTACCCTCGCTAGATTGTTATTTGAATAGACGACGCCCTAGTGCCGAGCGTTGTGTTATGTCTTGATCGATCTCAATTCTCTCTGACATGGATTTCCGGATTCTCATCTCCAACCGATCTTCATGCGGAAAATTCGGTACTTAACCCAGGATTAGGTCACCAGTGCATTATTCCTGAGGTTTGTGGATGAAAGTTCGGTGATCTAAGCGATCAAACGTTTTTGAGAAGTCCAGCTAGATGACATCGACTTTCACTCCACCATCAACTGCTTCAGTCCAGCTGCTGCATGCAATTAACAGGTTAGTAATACATGAACGATTTTAGCGAAAACTACCACTCCTGTGCTACTAAGCCATATTTATCCAGGTATTGCATCTGCGATGATTGATTCTACAACTTAAAAAAATAGGACGCAGCTTTATCGGACGGTAATTGGCAGAGTCAATGCGACTACCACCCTTGCAGACATGAGCGATGATCCCTCGTTTCCACATTGCTGGAGTTTTGTTCTCTAGACATCATTGATAGAAACTAACCAGTGGTATTCCCAGACCACTGCTGTTTGCAGAGGCTTTGGCCGAATGTTTTCGGCTATGAGAGAACTGTTGGTACGCAGCGATATCAGCTTCTTTAACACAGCTTGTGCATTTTAGGTGCTATTGGATAGACCTCACAGTGGGGCAATAATAACGGGGGGATATTTGAGCTGGTTACCCCTCCCAATGTATGGGAGTAATGACGCCGAAAGGCATTGGATGCTTCCCCTGCTGTTCGCATGTGCCCGCCAATCGTAACGAATGGTTGGATTCCACGCTGCACTTTTCGAAGGCCATTTGCGTACCTCTATAAGAGTTTGCGTTTCTTGCAGCATCGCTTTACTATTTATTATTGATGTCTTTGCGGATCAGTTTCACACTAGTTACACTGTGCAACATATACGGTCCAGCTTTCAGCATTGGGCGAGTGGGCTGTCCGTGTTTGGAGGAGCAACACCGAAACCTCTCCACTTCGGATAAGGTACTGATAATCGGAATGGCCGTACTGAACCACAACGGGAGAACGCAGTATTTGGCCCATAGCGCACGGCAGCAGAACACGTCAGTTTCAGTAGCACACAAAATGTATTATGTCTTGTCATAAGCCCAAAGCTTCGCATGAGTTAAAACAGTTCACTCATTGGTTAGCTTGGCATTAACGGACACACGCTGGTGGGTCCAACCAATGGGAAGCAAGTGAGCACTTTTTAATTGATGACTAGTTTGGCGTTTGACTGACACACACTGCCTTGGCGAAATGGACCAGATAAGTCGCTCTATTTCTGTCTCACCAAACACTTCACTTTCAATGGTCAAACGTACAAACAGATAATGGACACGCCAATGGGTTCACCATTCTCTGGACTGGTGGCCGTAGCAGTGATGCAAGCACTGGAACAAGAGGCACTGCCGATGGTGGAACTCAAACTTTTGGCACGTTACGTGGACGATACTTTTATCATCCTCAAACGTTCCAGACTACAAGAAACACACCATCTGATCAATAACATTTTCCCCGGCATTCATTTCACCAAAGAAAAGAACAACTACCAGGTATCATTCTTAGACGTGCTCGTGAAAATACATGCTTCCGGGCCCTTGGAACCAGCAGTCTATCGAAAAGCGACGCACACTGATCAGATCTTAAACTATCGCAGTAACCATCCGACCAATTACAAGCGCAGTTGCGTGAGGACACTTTTCAAACGGGCCCAAACACACTGTAGCACGCTGCAGCTGTGGAAGGCGAAGGAAGACCATTTAATTAGCATGTTCCAGTGGAATTCGTACCCTAAAAGTTTTATTTTACGCTGCCTGAAGTAGAAAAATCAACCACCGTCCGCTTCCGCAAGCAACACAGAAAGGAAAACATTCGTTCTACCTTACATCCATGGGATTTCTGAGATGGCTGCGAAGCTTTTAATGGCTCACGGGATCAACGTTGCACATGAAGCAACGGAAACTATTCGGAGTAAACTTTTCAGGGCAGAAGACCAACTGAGTAGAAAAGAAACATCAGGTGTGGTTTACATAATTTTCTGCAAAAGTCGTGATGTACTACATGAAATGTGTCAGCTTATACGCCGTAACGGCGCTTCGCTGCCGCGCGACCACCACCAGTCGCGCGCGGGCTGAGTATACCGCGAGGACGCCCACCCCTACGCGGATTCGAACCGGTGACCTTATGGTTGGAAAGCAAACGTGCCAACCACTCGGCCACCGGCCGACAGGCCAGACAGGGAGGAAACTTGGCACAAGACTACATGAACACAGTCTGGCCATCCGCCGCCATGATGAAAAATCACTAATATCATTACATATGGATGCCGAAGGCCATCAGTTCTATCTGGGGAATGCCAAGATACTTGGAAGAGCAAAGATCCGCAGAGCGCGTGAGTTCCTCTAGGTCTGGTATTCGGGCCAGAACTCAATCAACATGCGTCTAGAACTCGAAGGGGTCTACGAACCTCTGCAGGTGAGGTCAAAAGTAAGTACCAGATCGACAGAGCGTAGACGTGGCCACTTGACGGACTTGATCCAATCGAAGATACATTCAAAGCAGAAGACGATCAATAGTCACTTGCATCTGGCAGTGACTTACGAGACTGCAAATCAGACTTCTATAGCGGCACTGAGAATGTTGCCTAGTTTGGCAACGAAACGTCTTCAACCAAATTGCCTAGGTCGGAGTACACAACAATCCCCCCGTAAACTACAGTCTCAACATAGGTTGCCTGTCGCAGTCCAACAACCTGGCAGGTTTTCTAAACCAAATTTGTATTAGACGGATCCTTGTGAGCTCTCCTTGCTAATTTAATTGTTCTGCACCTCAGGAATGATGGTTTTGTTGTACTGTGGGAAGCGTTTCTGCTCTGATGAATATTCTACCAGCGTGTTGAATGTCTACGAAGGTTTTCCAAGCGACTTCATGGGTGTATTCAGCTAAGAAGGTTCAATTGTCCCCGTAACGAATGCGGATAACAAAGTGTACCTAATGAAATTCTTCAGGATATTCCGCATACCATATAACGTCAAGCAATACAGTAGCATAGTCACTGTGATAGCATCATTCAGAGAAAATACTTCGTGTATGTAGCGCCACTGCTTTCGACCATGGGCCTGCACTGCGTGATCAGGAGAATCCTGAAGTTCTGGAAGCCCATGAGTAAATATGGTCTACCTGCTGCCGTTTTTAAGAGGGTCGCCTTGGTTGCCCACTTTTTTGCCATTCTATCCAAGTTGGGTGATGTGCGCAACCAGATATGACCAATGTTGCAACACCGGTCACATTACAGTGCACCAACAATAGTTAATCACTTGAACCTGACTCTCGGATCTCAGTATTCTTCTTCTGCTGAAGAATTCTCATTATGACAATGTAAACGTCCATTCAACACAGACTGCTCGATGTTTCGTTTCTGATGACCAGTGGATAGATGTGTGGGAGCATCACCTTCGGTCTGCGAACAACCGGTTTTTCGATCGTTAACTTACTTTTTTCGTATACTGCTAATGCATTCTGCGTCTCGTTTGCTTCGTCACCATTGCTTATACGTCTTTTCTTTCTCTTGGCATAGCGTCAGCAGCGTCGCTTGGCGAGGATCCGACCATCGGAGCGTCTGTCGACATTTCGCATTGCCATGGTATATCGCCTCGCCGCCGCCCTTCTAATCCCGTACCCCTCACACAGACGCTCATTGAAAGCGCCCCGGTTCATCGACTTCCCACAGGATCATACGTTTGTTCTAGCCCACCGGTCACTTCCGCCAGTCATTCCCGTGTTAGTTTGTCCGCATTCCATGCGGAGGACGTGCAACGTAGCTCGCGCATTTCAACTGCCGCTACCCTCCCCGCTGCTTCGATGTGCAATTCAGGTAACTGCTCGACGTATGGTGTATTCGGGTGCCTTACTTCTGGTTCGAATTTTTACTTTGTAGAACGTAGGATCAGGCACATTTGCCTGAACTACTCTAATAGTTTAGTTTTGGTTCCTTCTGGTTCCGTATCTGGTTTGCATATGCTGCTTAATTGTTTTCAGCCTCAAGGAGTATGTAGTTGGTTTCAGCGCGAGCCCAAGTCTTGCTGTTGTTTGTCTCCGATGTTCGCGAATAAATGCACATTTAGTGTGTCACCCAGTCTCACTTGCATTTTTATTGTTGTTTCTGCTGACTAGTCGTGATCCGGTGGTTACTTATTAACCACACTAACCGTAAGAGGAACTTTCATATTGCAATGAACTGACGCAAGTCTGTGGCGCGCATTTTGCCGCATGTTGAAGTTTTGTCTGCCTGTTCTGCACTTTGGAGCACTTCTTGCCCCACTGAAGTCCTGCTTCTCGGTTTAGTGACGGGACCTCGCGTGACAACGAAGACGCTGTTGTTATGTGAATCGTAGCAGTTAACCGTCGCGAGTTCCTGTATTGTCGCTTTTGGACACTAGGAGCTGCTGCCGTACATGGTTCATTTGAGAATCACATTCGCATTGCATCCACCCAACCGGGGGAATTTATGATTAGTGCGGTCTAGCGTGGTCAAAGCTGACCGTGGTCTCAAATGTGGCCCCCATGAGTTGGGCGTGGCACAGTGAGCAGGCTCTCGTGTGCAGCCCATTGAATCTAAGCAACGCCGTTAGGCAGAGTACAAACGCTACCCAGGGAAAGACTGGTACATTAGATCAGGGTGTCATGGCCCGCGGTCTCATCATGAACTAATAATTTTTTAGGTCGGGTCTTTTTCGTTCACGTGTAATTTTTGTTATTATCTTGGTGTCAGACTGAATATTGCCCGACATATTTTTACCTCAAAAATGTGGCTCTCCTTGCAAAAATTTGGACGCCCCAGCATTAGTGCATTAGTTTTACAGATGATTTTACTGTTCTAGAATAACAGATTTTGTTTTTCCTGTTCGAACTAAGGTGTTAGCCAGTCTTGCGCCAATTTAACAATGGAACAGTGCATTTACCGCGGAGAATGAATTGAACTCCTAAAATGCTCCCAGTAGGTAAAGAATTAGACCAGAAAGTGAAATGTGTCAAAAGATATAAGATGTGACGATGGAATCACCGCAGTTTCCATGTGTACACGCAGTTTGGGAGCATTGGTCCGTGTCGCAGTAACTCTGTGTAATTCAGGTATTGGAATGCACCGTTAGCCGAATTTCCTAATCGACTAACGTAGTGGCGAAGCTGACTGAGTGTGGAAGAACGTTACTTTTCTGGGATACACTTGTGTCGAACAATTTCCCGCGGCATTCCAACCGGCTATTTTATGTGACTAACCTCAAATGACGTCCACTCGTTGTTGTTATGTGGTTTAGTTTCCATTAGTGTCGGCATGGGTGGTTTGGGTCCTTGAGGATCTGATACGTGAATATGTTATCACCTCGCAGACGACGATACTTTCAAGCGAATGTTTCTTAAACCTTTACTTTAAACTGATAATGTAGGTAGTGCAAGCCGTTAGCATTTTCAGTCTCCCTCTTATGAATTCTTAAGGGCTGCAAAGGGATTTTTTCTCCAATTGCAGCACATCTGGTCGGCGCATTCTACACGTGGCCTCACGTACTCGTTGAGCATTTGGGAACAAAGGTTGAATCAAACCGGGCAGACGCTCTTTGCATTAGGCCTAATGGTTGTTTAGCTTTCACTATTTGTCTTGAGCATCGGAGCTCACTTTCTACAGAATGGCACTGCAAAACATCTTTTCCTGCTCCATTTTTTGTGGTTGCTCTGGTTGCTGGGCCACCGGCCGAGTCTTCACTGCATACAGCAGTATTAGCGAAAATGTAGTAATACTGGTGTATCCTTTCTTTTTCACTTATTTCTACTCTTATCCCAATTACTAACTTTCTCTATAATTCCTAGCTTTATTGACAACTTACGCAAAGCCACTGCAGTTCGGCCAGTTGCAGCTATCTTCTCACACTGCCTACTGTACTCATATCTGCAGCATCCCTTATAAGATGATGCTGTCGCAGATCCTTGAGTCTCAGTGGAATAGGTTCTCGCCCGCTATGTGCGACGCGGGAGCTTGTACTTACGGCACTATCAATCATTAGCACACCAGTCACTGAACTTCCAAAAGGTTGCTGAACGTGCTGGAATCCAAAAGAAAACTCCTAGTTGGCTCTGAGCGCGAACTAAAGCGAATCCTGCGTGCTGGCATGAATCCTAATGGAATAGTTAGGACAAAAGAAATAGTGAAGGTGGGGGCAGTAGGAGACTGTCGCAAACTATTCAGCTCATCCGTACCACTGGTCTCAGGAAATCAGGCGTCAGTGAGACAACCAGAGTCAGCGATGATTAACAATGAGGAGCTCATTGGACGGAACTCTCTCGTGAGCAGTACGTCCGGCTCCCTGCTTCCGGACCTCTTCCTAATCAGGCGGTGCAGGTTGAGCTAGTGCCAGTTATAGCTCCCTCGGAGGCTTGAGTCCGAAATGTAATCACAGCTCTTAGTCGTTTTTGAGCTACCTGGCTGGATTCACTCTTGCTTGCACTATTAAGAAATGGTGATGTTTGTGAGTAGTAGGGGGATTTATTGGGCCTTTGTTTAGATTCGCCGCAGTTAGACTCAGACAGATAGCCACCACACATCCAGGGAAGCGCTAGACGGCCGTTTCGTCCTATTGGGACTCGTCAGTAGCGCGCACCCGCCGAATCCTGCCGGATTCGAACCCACGACCTTACTCTTGCGAGTCAGCGACTTATGCCACTGAGCCATGGGCGACGGCAGCGGACCGCCATGACTGATATCTAACTGCGATATAGCGCGGCTCATCCTCCACTGCCTTGCTTGTTATGCATGTGCAGAGGATAGGGCTGGCCCCCAGAGCAACGACGTCCTCTGCACATGCATAACAAGCAAGACAGTGGAGGATGAGCCGCGCTATATCGCAGCTAGATATCAGTCATGGCGGTCCGCTGCCGTCGCCCATGGCTCAATGGCATAAGTCGCTGGCTCGCAAGAGTAAGGTCGTGGGTTCGAATCCGGCAGGATTCGGCGGGTGCGCGCTACTGACGAGTCCCAATAGGACAAAACGGCCGTCTAGCGCTTTCCTGTATGTGTGGTGACTGTCTGTCTGCGTCTAACTGCGACGAATCTAAACAAAAATGTGATGTGGTCACCTACAAAGCGTTGACCTCCTTTTGAATAGGTCTGAAAGTGAGACCGTCCCAGCTAACTACAGTGAATCGCTTCTAGCGGCATTATGCAAGTAGGACAGTCGTATCTACTGTGTTAACCGCAGAGATATTGGAGACAAAATTTACTAACCTCAATTCTCGTTCGTCACCTCACTGTGGAATGGGAATCCTGGATTAGGGAAGAGCAAGCAGGCTTCCGCTCTCGACTGAGCTGTATACACCATGTATTCACTCTGCGGCAGATGCTAGAGCAGCGCTACACACGACAATAGCTGGGTTCCTTGACTTCAAGAGTGTGTTGGACTGAGTCGACTTATGCATTTTATTTGAAATACTTGCGCGGAAAAGTATTCCAATGAAATATGTGAAAATTTTAGGTGCCCTGTATTCGAATAACACAGGCTGAGTCAGTGTCCACGATGGCCTGTCGGATATCCTTCTGGCAACCAGTGGCATTTGTCAGGGTTACCTAGTTTCCCCATTTTTGTTTCACTTCGCCTTCCCTTACGGAATCTCATGATGCAAGCCTTGAGGTGCTGTTTGGTAGAAAGCTAGTTGATCTTGATTACGCGGACTATATTCCCTTACTTTTTAACGATGTTGGGGCGGTCCAATCAACTTTGAGTACCATTTCTTGGGTAATCCCATCTTATGGCATGCACTTCGCACCTTCAAAGTTTTGACACACGATCACCTGCGACTTGATGGCCTCTTGGTAGGAGGAACTTCAGGCCGTTAATCACCTCACTTACCTTGGTAGCTGCATCAGAAACAACGGGCAAATAACACTAAGTCAGTTCACGTATTGCCTAAGCTATAGCTGCCTTTCTGAATCTGCGACATGTGTCGACAGTAAGGGTGTATTTACAAGGCCACAGTGAGGACCATCTCGCTCTGTGATCTGAGGTGCTTTCAAGTCTTTGATCATCGCTGTCTGCAGAGCATTGCTATTGTCCGATGGCACCAACGTGTAAAAGAATCATGATAGTTCTCTACAACTGCAGATAGCACTGAATAAGTTGCGTAGGCATGGGCGAGTACTACGTATGTCCGGTCACTGATTACTGAGTAGGGTCTTGTTTTGTTTGCCAAATTTACGGTGGCACAAGACCCGATTTGGTCACTTGTCAACTTGGCAGCGAGAAATGAAGTCACTGACTGCAAAACTTGGCGCCATTAGTCCATCTCACCTTCTAGCCTGGAGTCCATGTGACTCGCCTTGTGCTTGACGCGAGATATTATAGGACATGGCTCACAGCCGGCACCAGTGGCGTATCTGTTGTTGTCTAGTCAGACTGCCTGTTTAACGTGTGTTTAGTTCTGGGTTATCTGCGGTGTAGTAGCTGATTGTGACGTGGAGCATTTAAAACCGCAAGTGAGCCTTTCCCCAGATTCCGTCTTGATCTTGCGCAATAGCCAGCTGTTTGTGACGGAATGTTCTTGATTCAAGGCCTAGGCGCCTTGACTCTTGTTTAATTCATTATGGTTTTACGCTGGGTCCCACTTTTCTTTTTCTGTTATAATTTTCGTTCTGTATGCCATTGTGTTTGTACCACAGCCAAGCGTCATTTGGAACGTCTGATTTACTGCTATTGATTATGATGATGCTTTTAGAAAAAGTACTAGGGATCTTTGATTGCTTCTCGTGCCTTTTGTGCTTGTTTGAAAGTGGTGTGCCTCGCTGTTCCATTCTGAGTTAGTTAAGATGTCCGTACATTAGCTGGGGGTTTG